AGAAAGTTGAGAGACGCAAGACCCAACACTCTGGATGAGCTTAAGGCTGCTATAGAAGCATCCTGGGCCTCCATAACACCTCAGCAGTGCCACAGGCTGATTGCCTCCATGCCACGCCGCAGTGAAGCAGTCATTCATGCAAAAGGATTCCCGACCAAGTATTGAGTGCATAACTGAACATGATTATTTAAAGGTTGGCGTTTTTTGTATTAAAAACACTTGTCTTTCATTGGTGGGATGAAATATGCTAATTTTTTGGGACAGGCATTTTGGATTTTCATGAGCTGTATGCCATAATCATCAGTATTAAAACAATTAAAGACCTGAAATATTTCAGTTGGTGTGCAATGAATCTGAAATATATGAAAGTTTCATTTTTATCATTACATTATAGAAAATAATTACCTTTATCACAATATGCCAATTTTTTTTTTGAAGGACCTGTATCCTCAATTTCTTTTTTCCAGCCACTTATTGCTACTTGTCCCAACTTTTTTGGGATTTGTTGACACTGAAATTTTGAATAACCACATTTTTCCTTAAAAATGTTACATTTACTCAGATTAAACTTTCGATCTGTCATCTATGTTATATTACGAATAAAATATTGACATTTGCCATCTCCACATCATTGCATTCAGTTTTTATTCACAATTTGTTTAGTGTCCCAACTTTTTTGGAATCCGGTTTGTATTTTTTGTATTTCTCCTCAGAAACTTCGGCTTGTCAGGGCCGAAGTGCACGTCTGTCTCCAGGAGGACTCAGAGCCCAGTGCAAGTCATCAAGGGAGAAATATAAAACTCATTAATGTTCAAATTATAGAACCAATTTGTTTTTCATGTAGAAAAATAATGATCTTGCAAACCTGGGACTTTAGGCCTAAATTAACTAATAGCAAAAAATAACTGAATAAAATGTATATGCAGACAGACATGATGAGCTGAACATGTAGAAGGATAAACATTTTAATTTAAAAAGGTTTATTTGTTTAAAAAAAAAAAAAAAAAAAAAGCTCTCAACAACCTGGCTGGCTCCATCATATATTACAGATCTTATTGTTCCATATTTTCCTAACAGACCACTCTCAGGCTGCAGGTTTACTCACATTTCCTAGAGTTTCCAAAAACAGAATGGGAGGCAGATCTTTCAGTTATCAGGCTCCTCTCTTGTGGAACCAACTTCCATTCTCTGTCCATGAGGCTGACACATTATCCAGTTTTAAAACTAGGCTTAAGACTTTCCTTTTTGATAAATCCTTTTAAAAGGGAGTTTTTCCTTTCCACTGTTGCCACTGTGCTTGCTCAGGATGGGAGACTGCAACAAAGCGAATATTCAACTTGTCTGCTGGATTTCTTAGAGAACTTTAATAATTGGCTTTTATGTATGTGAATGTTCCTGTAAAGTGCCCTGAGACAACTTTGTTGTGATTTGGCACTGTATAAATAAACTGAATTAAATTGAAAAATGTGGAAGCTTTTGCACATCATTTCAGTTTTTGGTTAAATCTGAATTTCAGCACTCTTGCTGGTCCTTTATTAATGTCAAAATAAACTTTACTCACTTTCCTGCAGATACAAGCTTGGCTGATTCAGAAGTTTACACCCAACGCAGAAGAAGAAAATAAAGTTAGAGAAATGTTCACAATGTTCACCTTAAAAACACGTTTTAAAGATTTTCTCCTCAGAAACTTCAGCTTGTCAGGGCCGAAGGTGCACATCTGTCTCCAGGAGGACTCAGAGCCCAGTGCCAGTCATCAGCAGAGAATTAAACCCTTGAATTTACACAAAGAACGGCTGCAGGAACATTAAAGGCTTTAAATTAAACATCAGTTTCAGCCTGTTAGCATCATGCTAACAGCATGTGCTCACCACGTGGAGGCAGGCCTGACTAATGCAAGTAGGTCCTAAAAATGCTTTACAGGCCTTAAAAATATTTGAAACTAGTCTTTTATAATAAGACAAAAAATGTTTAGTTTAGCAGCATAAATAATTAAACCGACCACATCATGCTTAATATACCAAAGCTGTGTTTAGCTAGGCTAAAACATATTTTCGCTTACGTGCGAGATATTTTACGGCTCGTTAGTAGCTGAATACTCCATCTAAAACCACAAACAAATTACATTTAAAGCATGAAATACTGAGAACAACCGTTCGAAGGCTCCGTCTTAGTACCTCCACGAAGAACCGGCTCTGTATTTAAACTCGGATCTCGCTCGCCACTCGAACTGCGGCTGCGCAAACTGCTTCGTGTTTTTATCGCTAGAGGTTGCAGCAACGGCACGAGAGCGCTACCGCCCTCTTGTGGTCAGAAGCTAAAACTTCAGCTCCGTCCATGCTTCCACTAGCTGAATGATCAAGAATAACAAAATGTTTTGTTATATTATCCACCTTATTCCTGATACCTCTAACATAGATATAAATGATAAATATAAAAATATTCATCTTTAACATTTAATCTGTGTCTAATCAGAGTCAGAGATGTATTTGTCATACACACCACACGTGGTACACGAGGTGGGACAAACTATGTACATCAAATAAAATCACAAATTGTAAAGAAAAACATTAATAAGATCCGAGTCATGAACTTTGCTGAAGAGAGGTGACCCCACCTCACTGAACAGCTATCGGCCAATCTCTAAGCTCTTTAGCTCTTTAACTTTAGCCAAGGTTCTAGAAAAACTGATAAACTCTCAAATCATAAAGTATTTTGACTCATTAAACATCTTACCTCCACATCAATCTGGTTTCAGGAAACAACACAGCACAATGACTGCGTTGCTGAAGGTTCTTAATGACATTGTTGAAGCAATGGATGCTAAAGATTATTGTGCCGCACATTTCTTAGACCTGTCTAAAGCTTTTGACACTGTGGATCATGACATCTTGTGTCATAAGCTCTCAGAAATTGGTTTCTCAGATCACACCACTGGTTGATTCTCTAACTATCTTTCAGATCGGAGGAAATGTGTTCAACATAACGGTATTTCCTCCAGTTATTTAACAGTCAGTAATGGTGTACCACAAGGCTCAGTCTTAGGACCCACCCTCTTTACAATTTACATAGGTAATGTAGGTAAGAGCATCCCTCGTGCATCCTTACATTTCTTTGTTGAAGACACAGTTGTTTATTGTCGAGCCAGTTGCTAAGGCTTTCCAGCTTTTGCAATCCACTTTTGACATCATCCAGTCAGATTTGTTTTGTTTCAAACTTGTCCTAAACGCCGATAAAACCAAGGGGATAGTTTTTTTCAAACAGGAAGTCAGTCCCAGCAGTTCTTCCTCTGATTTTATCTTCAAATGGTGTCCCCACTGAGTTTGTCGAATCCTATAAATATTTGGGTATCTTGGTCGACTCGCATCTCTCTTTTAAGCTCCATGTGGAAAACCTAATAAGGAAACTGAATGTTCAACTGGGTTTCTTTTTCAGAAATAGATCCTGTTTAACTCTGAATGCAAGGAAACGTCTTGTATCCGTGTCTTTCCTTCCCTCGATTGACTACGGTGACATTATTTACATGAACGCTCCTACAAGCACCCTGCAAATGTTGAATGCTGTCTATCATGGTGCACCAAGTCATAACTGAATGTAACTACCGTACCGCCACTGCACCCTGTATTCACTGGTTAACTGGACATCATTAACTTGACGCAGACTCTCCCACTGGTACATTTTCATCTTTAAATCACTTCTTGGTCTGCTGCCTTCATACATCTCCTCCTGCATGTCTCTGTGTGAGTGCAGCTACAGCGTGCACTCTCAGGACATTATTACCTGCAGTGTTCCCTCAGTGAGGACTGAACTAGGCAAAAGTACCTTCTCCTACTCCGCTCCTGATTCCTGGAATATCTTGCAAAATGACCTGAAGCTTTCAACCTTGACCTCTCTAAGTGGCTTCAGACATGTGTTAAGTTCCTAGCAAGAACCAACACAGACATGTTCCTGTTTTCAGTTTTCTACACCGCCTTATCTAGCTGTTTTTTTCTCTACTTTTCCTTTTGACTGTTCTTTGGGTTGCTATTTGTTTTGATTTGTAAAAAAAAAAAAAGAAATTTTAATTTGTATGCCTCTTTTGTACCTATCTATTGTTGTTGTTGTTGTCCACTGTTGTCATCATTCTTTGTTAAAGAAATCAGGTCTCTTTTGTAAATGAGTCCCCGAGGCTCTATGGGATTAACCTGTATAAATAAAGGTTGAATGAATGACCCAAAGTGTAGTCGTGACTGGTTCTGAACGGCGGCTTTACAGCAGACAGATGCTCCTCTCTCTTCCAGGTACTGTACCGAGACCATTAAAGGCTAAATAAACCAAAATATTGCTGTTAATTTCTGACTGTGTAACTTTACAAATGGCACCCCATACATATATGTATATATATATTATAATTGATGACATATTAACCAGTGAATACAGGGTGCAGTGGCGGTATGGTAGATACAGTCAGTTATGAATCTTAGTGCACCATGATAGACAGCATCCAACATGTATGAGCATTCATGTAAATAATGTCACCGTAATCAATGAAGGGAAGGAAGGTCACAGATACAAGGCGTTT